ATACAAATGCTGAGCAACCTGAAATCTAAAGAAGAAAACAGCGATACAATGTCACCCACAGTAGCATCAAAAAGACTCATATTTGGAAAGAAGTGTAGAAATGTCAGCTCTGTGCCCTGACGATTATGAAACAGAGGTAACTGAAGAGACAGTTCATGTTGTAGATTGGAAGACCCAGTTGTGTTAAGGTGATGATTCAACAAAGCACAGTAGACCTTTGTTGTCCTTACTGTGATCCCCAAATCTACACAGAACTCCAAAAGACTGTGAATGGCCAAACAATGGAGGACTTCCTTCCTAACATCTATGGCTCTAATGCCACCGTTATGAACAGTAAGAATGGGCACAAGAACACAGAGAACCCTAGGACAGACCTCACTTTGCAGAATCAAATTCTCTTTACACTCAATTGACTTTCAGTGTAGGTGCCAAGGCAAGGGCCTTTAACAAGTGGAAACTTATAGTCACATGCAGATGACTTTACTTCATACTGGGTACCAAAATCAACTCAGTGCAGGAATCCAGTAATACTACTGCTACAGGAAGTCACAGCAGACAATCTTCAAGATCTCGGCCTTGGCAATGATTCAGGTACGACATCAAAAGAGCAATACAGTAAATTTAAAGGTCATTACATTGGGCCTTATCAAGATTTAAACATTTGTGCTCCCTAAGATATGAAGAAAAGCAACCATCTGGGGGAAAATGTCTTGCCAAGTACATATCTGATAAGTGGTTTATATCTAGAACTCACAGTGTATCTTCACACTTCAGCAATAAAGAATGCCCACAAGAAAACACAAAGATGCAGATTGGCCTATCACCAAAGGTCATCATTCATATATATATATATATATATATATATATATATATATATATATATATATATATATATATGACTGGCTTACTAGCTCAGGGGAAAAACAAAAGTATAAAATGAGGACAGCTTTGGGTATCAACCTACATAAAGATGATGACTCTTCTCTACAGTGAGTCTGGGAAGGAGGATGGGCCCAGGGAATAATGCCTTGTCTGAAAGATGCCTAATTTTCAAGTGATATACAAAGTATAGTATGAAGTACTGAGAGAAACTGAGCAAAATCCTCCGACCTGATGAGAGTCCTCAAAGGCTGGAGAAAGCTCAGACCACACTGCTTAAAAGGTATCAAGACTGCTGTGACTTCTTTGCCTGGGCCTGGTGCAGCCATCCACAGGCACACACCTGGCCTGGAGAAATAGCTTCTTCCCATGATGCCAAGCATAGGACAAAACAGTGAATTGCGCACAGGTGAGGCATTTATCTTTCACATTGGAATTTGTCACACAATCTGTAAGTGCTGAGTGACAGAGCAAGAGCTTGTTCCAAAAGAAAGGGAAAAACGGCCATTTTCTCAGGCAGAGAAAAATAATGGCAGAACTTCCTTTGCGCTTAGAGAGACATTGGTGAGACTGGATGCTGGCCAATGAGTATAGAAATAATGGTAACAGGACAGCAGCTGCCATAGTGAGAGTTTTATTTCTCCGTGCAAAAAAAGTCAATCGTGGCTTCAGTTTTGGGTAGCTTGCGTTGCCCCTCTATTGCTTCATGGTATGCAGTCAGTAAGCCTGCCCTTTTCAGAAGGAAGCTCTAAGCAGGCACTGTGCTGCTGAAAGCTCGACAGACCGACTCTGCTTGGCATAAAGATTGGGCTCCCCCTCCTTCGCTCAGCACCAGGCTGCAGAATCGGGTGGCCTGCCCTTCAGCTCATCCAAGCCTGGGTGGCAGCAGGCATCAATAAACAAAGCCACAAGCCTCAAGTCTTCAGCCAAAGGGAGTTTTGAGCCAAGCAGCCCCAACACCCAATTTGGCCTGTTCTAGTGTCTACACTATTCAAGCATTGTTTAAAAACTTGTCCACGTGTGTATACATTCTGTCCTTCCAGGCATGAAGGTGAAGTTAATATAGTGAGAAACAGTCCTCTTGCAATGGGGCCCAGGAAATCACTACTCAGAGTAGATTTACATCTATGGCAACCCTATTTGGGAGGGTGTGAACAGAGCTAATGATGAGTAAATAAGGACACTTAAGGAGAACCCAGAGAAGGGCTGGTGTAAGGCAGGGTGAATCTCCCCACTCGCAGCTTGTATGCACCAAGGAACAAATGACCCAAGTTTGAAGACAACAAAATCAGTCCTAATAGTTGATCTCTTACACACAACATTCTCAACTCCAAGAACCTGAGATAAGAAATGAATAAATGAAGACACAGTGCTAGCTCTGATGTCAGGTAGACAGGACATTAGCTGTGTCACTGCATAAATGACTTAAAAGGTAATCATATTATAGGAAGTTATAAACAGATGGCTCATTAACTGTGGCTGGGGAGATCAGCTACTGAATGTCAAGAGAAATGACCTTATTAAAAAAAAACAAATACAAGCTTTTCTCTGTAAAAGTACTCTCACAATTAAGAATGTGTATTATAAAGACACAAAAGTAAAATGTCTAAAATTGTACTACCATTATTGCTATTGTATTATACAGGTATCTAAGCATATGCATGACTGCAATGTCTTTATCTCTAATCTTGCTTATGAATTGTTACAAAACAGTTATTTTGAATACTGTGAATATAGTGTGTGAGTACTGTAAATACTTAAGACCATTGCTTGGCTGTGGAATTATATTTTGTGTGTGTGTAATTTAGTCGTTCTCTTGAGATGTGGGTTGTTTTGGCTTTCCACATCAGCATCCTTTGAATACAAAGATGTATCATAAGCAGAATGTTATAGTATTATGTGTGTCTCAATCAGCTGACCAGGGTCAAAGTTTTGCCATATTTTGTTGACCCTTAGTAATTCTATAGTTGTGACTTCTTGCATCATTAAGCGTTGGAAGTCAAGGCTCCCTGGACTTTCCCTTGAATTTCTGGTAGCTCTGACAGGTTCTCAGAATAACAGCAGCCAGAACAAGGACCAGACTTCACAGGGCGCTGGTGGCTGGCTCAAGTCCTTTCTTGGGCACTTCCCTAGGCTCTGTCCATCTCTGGACCTAGCCAAGGCAGTCCCCATTACCAGAATGCTGACAGTCTTGTCTGCATATTTCATTAGTTACAAAATTAAATGAATGGGTACATTCATAATCCATCACAAATTGCATTACTTTTGTCCATGCAACTCACATGTGCACTTGACCTACCTTAGCATGTCATATGCCTACAACATTTCAGCTACAAATTGTCATGGAAACTTAAGTTTCCTGTAATGTAAAACGATTGTGAGCCAAAGTACTTAGGAAAGGCTTGGACTGGTGAATGTGTTGGTATGTGTTAATAATTTTATTTTTGTTTATCCATCACTTTTAAAGTCCCAAATGCAAGTCTTCTTCATGGAGAAGAGGTTTTCAAAGTGAGTTACTCTGTGGCCTGGAACACCTGTAGTGTCCACTTGAGCTCTACCGTTCTGTCTGGGCTGTGGCATCTCGGCTGCCAGATCGCCCACAAGAGCCCAGGGAGCAAGGCACACAGCCAGCATAGCTAGTGTTCCTTCCACAGCAGTGACTGGCATCGGAGATGGGACTATGTCCTAGAAAGCATCCATTCTATCATCCCTTGAAATATTACCAAAGCAGCAATTTGCAGACCTAAAGTGACTGTGAGTGAACTAAGTAACAAGTCATGCTTTAGAATCTGGGAAACAGCAACTCCATGTTTATAGCTGAGAAGCAGAAGGGCCTATGATGAAGTTCCTTCTATCGTTTTTACACAGAATAGACACTAAGTAGACACTAAATAGACATTAACTATGGTGGGGAGATGACCCATAAATGGAGAAAAGGCTCTGGATAATCTGAGTCTCTCTCCAGAGATTTACCTGGGAAGAAGGTCTTCAAATGTTAGGTTGTGTCTGACTAATGAAAGTGGGAGGAAGGCAGTCGCAGATCTGAATACCACAGCCAGATTTCAGAAATGAGATCTGCAGTGTGAAGTGAAGAGGAAGTCAGTTTAGAAAGACTGAGAAACCTCAAGGCTAAATTCTACAAACCAGAGCAGAAAGCAGGGTACTATTGCTATGTGGCTGAAGAGTTCTTAAACTCTCGTTTATATTATATACATGTTCATATTCTTGAAATACACATTCCCTGTTTTCAGTGGGTAATGAAGGCATAATACCAAGAAAAAAAAAACAAACAAAATAGAACATCAAATAGAACAGTGTGTGGGAATTAAAGCACAGAAAGGAACAAAGCTGGATAGGAATCGGCGTTTAAGGCCACCAAAGGGAGGGACATGGGACACACAAAGGTGACCGTTCCTGAAATGGCCTTCAGCTCCAGGCAGGGGACCCATTCAGTGCTGAGCACATAGCAGCCAGCTGAGCCTCTACAGTGCCTCACCTCAAACCAACAGAAAAAATGTCCTTTCTGTGGGGAAGTATTTTTAGAATGAAAATATAGAACCACATGTGTAAGCAAAGGCACTGAAGTGAGCATGCTCGACTGGATGAGAGAGTTGAGTCACTGTAAGCCTGTAATGACTACTACTGCCAAACTTATCAAAGTTTTCCTCAACTCTTGCTGGGACACACATACATATAACTCTCCATTTTGGATCAATACAATGGTATTATCCTTCTATCAACTTGTCATATAATATCTGAGTAGGAAATAATTATATATTCCCTTTTTGTATGCAAAACTTAAACGTGTTCAGATTCAAGGTATTTTGTATATGAACTGTTTAATGAATGGAAATTAAAATGTCATTTTCTCCCTTGCAGTTTTCTAACCAAGGTCTTCTTATAGTCATAATCCATCCTAATATTTTCTCAGAGCAGACACTTAATTCGAACAGAAACCAAAGCACTAGACTGCTGCTGTCAGTGAAGATATGAATTCTGAGATAGAATGTATGTGTGGAGGAGAGCTTGTAAATAAAATATTAGAATTTAAAAACAGGAGTATCCTATATGTTAGTAAGGGAAAGATATACGAGAAAACAAACTGTACAGAGACAAGCACATTTTTATAATTATGAACTTTATTTTTTATTTACTAACCCAACACGTTTCAGGAAAGAGACTTTACATCTGGTATCCATAATTCGTTTTACAGGCAAATTCTAATATACATTATGTACTCTGAACTGGATTGAGAAATCAATGGGGAAAACGACATTGCAGATACTGTTTCTGGTTTTAGTCATGACTAAGTTCTCAAGGCCAGCATTACTCATCATGGCACTACGAAGAAGAGCGTGGGTGGCTTTACTCAACAGTGAAGACACAATCTTTAATCAATTACATAATTATAGAGACCTCGAAATCGTCTATCCAAATGTATCCTCTCAAATTGCTGCAGTAGAAACTTAAAGTGACCTGTGGAAAGACCAACAGAAAATAGAACTCAAGCATCAGAATCAAGAAAACAGCAAGGTCATCATTTCCAAGGAAAACCGCATGTACTTACATTACGGCGATACTTCATTTTCAAATGTGTGTTTAAGCATGCAAACATAACTACCCAAGCTAACTCAGTAACACAGAAGCTACAGTGTGAATGGAGGGTATGGAAATGGTGCTGCAGTCTTACTGGCCTTCAGGACAAGCTCATTTGACCCCAAAGTACATCACAGGAAGCTGATTGAACTACTCTGGTGGCAAACAGGAGCACCTGTGTCTGGAACACCATCTACCGGTATGAGACCTTTCAGAAATGACAGTTACTGGAAACAAGTTGTCTTTGATACATTGAGCAAAGTACTTAAAGGGACAATGGACATTCAAAGAAAACTTAGTGCTATCATGGGTAAAGTGGCATGCTGGGACACAGTTCAGTGAAAGGCTGTACAGCTTCCTTCAGACAGCAACATTTACAGGGGAATTCATGTCACTAAACAAAGCCACACCCACAGGAGGCAATCTCATATTTCAGGCACAACTACAAGCAATTAAGCTCATTTAAAGTGCGTATCTGATATTTTCTTTCATACTCAGATTTTTACTTACTAAAATGCTTAGTAAGTTCCCTAACATCTATATAAATACAACAAACAGTAGTCGATATGCCTGAATATACTGCACAAAAGAAAAATGAGACTCCAAAAGAAAAATAACAGGTAGACAGTCTGTGATTAGAAATCATCTATGATCCTTTGTTGGATGCCTTGGAATCACCTGGACCTATGCCAATGAACATTTTAGCCAAGTTTCCTTTGAACAAACTCAGGGCAACATAGCAGAACTCTAGCTCAAAAACCAATCATCTGAAATGCATCCTGTTAGAAGCCAAAAAAAAACAATTCTGCATATTATTTTTTCATACATGTAAATATTACCCAGCTCACCCTTGGCACTTGGAATTCACCCACTCCCACTATCTTTGCTCACAGAACAGAGAACAGAGTGAGTAAGCTATGTTTCTGTGAAAGACAGTTGGCAGAGTGTCGGTTTAGATGCAATCAAAAGATCAAGCCACATGTGAGCAAGCGACCTCAGCTTATTAACCAGAGCTGTGCCCTCATCTCTACTTCTCAGTACCACGAGGAGCAGACACGATGTTCTTGCAGCTTTTACAGAAAACTGCAGGCAAATATTCTATGTTGTTTGTGAATGCATCCTAGATATTTTGTCTAGGTAATGTATTTGAAGCACACATTACATTTAAAAGCATACTGATGAGGGCTGGGGATGGAGCTCACTTGGCCGAGTGCTTGCCTAGCACACATGAAGTACTAGATAAAAGCAGGTGCAGTGGTGAACTCCTGTAACCCAGCCCACTGGAGATGGAGGCAGGAGATCAAAAAGCCAAGGTTATCTTTGGCTACACAGTGAATTAGAGGCCAACCTGGGATATGTGAGGCTCTTGTTTCAAGGAAAAGAAAAAGAAAAGGAAAAAGAGGAAGAGAAAAAGAAAAACTATATTGATGAGCCTACCTATCTTCTATCAAGGCCCAAACAAAGGTACAGAGGGTGAATGGTAAACATTTCTGCAAATTCATCAGGGAGAAAAAAACTAAAGGACAAAAATTAGAATAAACAAATTATTGGAGTCAACATTTTTATCCAATAGACGAAGATATTACCCTCAGACAAGAGGGTTATAAATAAATTTAAAAATTTAAACTTTCCCCTAATTATAAGGCCAACTTGCAAAAATATTTCACCAAAGTCTATACAAATATCAAATTAAAAAAAACATACATTAGTATGCTCTATTGCAGGTACTAGAGTATGATTGTTAGCTGTTGGGCAACACATGAACTTAGTTTTCATTCTCCATAGGGGAAGGCATATGTGCTCACACACAGTTGTAGCCAACCTGGCTCACGTTCATGGATGAAGAGGTGCTTTTGCCCACCGTGTGATGATGCAATAGCATCTGGCCTATGTTCAGGATGTCCTGAGCTTCTGTTCTCTAACTAAAGTGCTATGGTGTGAGACTATGCTCCCCATTCCCAAAGCCGAGAAAGGTCAGCATCTCCAAATAGCAAATTCACTTGAGGGGTTGTGACATGTAAGGAAAGACTGTCCCTAAATGGCAGCAAATGTGACTTTGAAGCTTTCCACTAATGTATTTAATGCCATGCTTCTCTTTGCAACCTACTTATATTTAAAAAGGAAGACCTAGCAGTTTAACTGTTTTGGCCATAATTCCTTTTGATACTTTTTTTTTTTTTTTTGGTCAGCTAATCAGATACTGATCCTGTGAGATTATTCATCTGAAAAATCTTAATTTGAATGAAATTAAATAGATGGCCAGTGTAAAGATGGCATGATTTGGGCAAATATAAGGTAAATTTACTCAACTGCTTGAGAAATGGTCAGTGGCATGGTTGGATTCCTGTACATGGTTACCTGGAGGCCTCACAGCTACCATATGCAGCATCTCTTAAGGAAGTACAGTTTCCTACCTACAATTTCATTTTTCCCCAAATCTACTTTTCAAGAAACTGTCATTCAAAATAGAAAAGGGAAACTCAGGAAATCCAGAAAAGCAACTTATTATAATAATCTTAAATTTATATATATTTTCTTAAAGTGTTTTAACTCACTTTCATAGAAAATAAGCTCTAAATTCCTTATATTCCATCAAAATTTTGTGCAAATATTTCAAGTCCATTATTCCAGTCTTCAGATATTAGCAAATAGTCCAAATAAATACAAACATTACAATAAAGACTTAATTTTAAATTTTTGATGTATGTTGTGGAAACCTAAAGTAATATGATGGATTGGTAAGTTAATAGGGTTTAAAACTTAATTATCAGCAAAACTCTAGCACCAACAGAGGTTACAACTAATATATACTTGGGCATCTCAAGCTCTCCAAATTTACCTAATAGGAATGTAAGCAAAGTACATGTGTGTATGAAACAAGGTGTTATAACTACATATATTTGGTAATGAAAACTATCAGCCTGGGAATTTTCTGATAAATGGAGAGACAGTAGGACTATATTGTTGATCCTAGAAAGGTGAGATAAGGACCCCCCCATGAAAGCCCGTCTTTAATCATTGTGGAGATTTTGCATAGACCTCATAAATATACAAGATACTAGCCAGTACCCTGATTATGGGCAATCATCTTCCATCATCACTTTGGATCTTTAGTTAAAATAGCAACCATATTCACAGTAGGAATAAGCAGAGGGGTGAGGTTTTGATAACCACAGTTATAGACCACAACAGGACTAAATTAGCAAAGTACATATGTTGCCTGATAAATGGAATACTTTGACTTTTCTGGTGTGCAGAGAGAGGGCTGAATAGTATGACTTGGGCCTCTGAGATGGATAAGTAAACTTGTGTTTACCTGAGACAAGAATGTGCAAATGGTATATAGTCAACTAGGATAGAAAATGGAAGAGCCAAACTAGTAGAAGCTTCTGTGTTTTAATTTTAAGATTTGCTGTAATGGAACCTCCAACATAGTAATAAACTGCACATAAAGCTATTACAGAGCAGACTGTTTTCAAAAGACAAAGTGGCAGGTGATGGCTATGCACTTAATGTATCTTTGGTTTAGGAAGACGAGAAAATCGATTAGAGGTCACATGATCCCCAGAATGCAAACTGCTATTTGGATTCTGCAGTTCTTTTGATCGCGCTAATGGCCTTGGGATGCTTGTCTTGGCCTGGAAGCTTTGAGGCTCTGGTTGGGGATTGCTTATTTGTTTTTGTTTGAAAGAGCCAGAAGGGGGACGGAGTTTAGATGCTTTCAGATTCAAATTATTTGCAAGGTTGTTTTGATTAGACGTTGGCTGAGGTTTTGAATTGCATGGTACGATTACTGGTGCCTTCTTACATGTGGAAGTCCTACTTGGTGATGAATCAGAATCTGGAGGATGTGCCGAAGAACTCAAGATGGATGGCTTTGACTGCTGCAAGGACTTGGGCTGAGGAGACTGGTTTCTTCTAACCCTCTTAGTCTGGTTCACTGTACTGGACTGGGAAGGTGTCTGAGGAGGAGTAGGTCCAAACTGCATGTCACTAGGTTGATTCTCTGCCAAATGAGGAGGCTCTTGAGCATTCATAGTCATGCTCAGGTTCGTTTCCGAAGGTACGTCCTTCACCACATCCACTGGGAGCTGTGGGCTTGATGGAAAAGGATGGTCTTCCAAACCATAGCTGTTTTCCTGTTGCAAGCCATGTGTAAAGCTTCCATCTGGGTGTGCGCCACCCTGACACATGCCTTGGACTGTGTATTCACTGTGGGCCTCGGTGTGTTGTGGCTTTATTAGTTTTCCCTGGGCGTGGTCTGTAGGTCTGGGAAGGCTGCTGGAAGGCTGTAGTACTTGAGGCTGTTAAAATTTTTAAAAAAAGAATTACCAACAATATATATTAGAAATTTACCCAGAATTAATGACAGTTCAATTCCAATTAAGCAAATTGCCACTTACTATACTCTAATAAGGATAATATGTGATTTTTTAAAGTAAAGAATGAATTGCAGGATCCAAGCAAACTCATAACACACATTAAAATGATACTGCAAACAAGGTGATACAGGCAGCAAACACTGAACAAGATCCAAAATTAAATGGGACAAAAGAAAGTCTTTAAGTATTTAATGGAGACAAAAAAAATCTTTGCATCATTAGGCTATTATCTTCAACCTTATCTATAAGGAACACAGACAAAAATTATATCAGCACTTTGAATTAATTTCCTTAAGTGACCCTCACATTTAATGGCAACCTTTAGGGTATTGCCCACTTTATTTTATGCACATCATTGTTTTGCCCTCATGTATATATGCACATAGCATGTCCATGGTGCCCTTGGAGGCTAGAATCAGTACCCCTGTTACTAAGGTTACAGATGGTTATAAGGTGACATGTGGTTGCTGGGAATTGAAGCCTGGTACATGCAAGAGAATTCAGAGTTCTTAATCACTGAGTCATTTCTCCAGCTATTATGCATTTTAAAGTTCATTTTATACATGTTGCCAAATGTTGTGTCTCTTTTACCAAGAGATATGCAATGCTTAGAAAAAGACTGTACTATTAGTTTATGTGAAATGCTAATGATTTACAAAGTGTCCGATACACTTAGTCCAGTGTGTGCAAAGCACTAAATTTAACCCTTAGAGCCCCCAGAAACCCAGCAGTCTTTTCAGTGGCAGCTAAGATAGCATAACCACGGCACCAGCTGCAACTGGGACCAAAGCATGGCAGCCAGTTCTCAAGGCCTAGCCTTGAGCACGCTCAACGGCCTGCTGTGATGCTACCTATACAAACCCCAAAGAGCACGTGACTTCTGTTATTAAAGCCTGCTGTGATGCTACCTATACAAACCCCAAAGAGCACGTGACTTCCGTTATTAAGGCTTGCTGTGATGCTACCTATACAAACTCCACAGAACACGTGACTTCCGTTATTTTGGGTTGTCGAGTAAAAAAAGGTACAAACAGACACAGGGGTAAGGTAAAACAAATCAGTACCATCTATTTCCTCTCCCACACATACTTTCTACTTAACAATTTGGACTAAAATGTCAAAAACTCTGGGTTTGATTTTAACAGATCATTTTTCACTACTAAAAACACTTTTTAACTATGCTCATCCACAAGGAAACCTACACAGTGTCTCTCACATCTCCTGCTGGAGGGACGGACTTAATAACTTGATCATTGTGTTCTTTCACTCCTCGACCAGCAATAGAAGAGGCTACTCAGGGTAAGAAGTGAGTGACTGAAGTGGCATGGCTGGGATTGATTGAGAACAGGATTCGCCACTCAGGAGGGATAGCTGATGGCTGCCCAGTACTTTAAAGGGGGGGGGGTGCATACGACATCATGCCCATCAACATTGCAGCATGGAGGAAGGGCCAGCAAGTCACAATTCTGCGGAGCAATGCACAGTTGACGGCTTGGGAGGTGTTTGAGTCACAACTCTGGGGAGCTGTGCACAGCTGACCCTTGGGAGGTGTTTGAGTCGCAACTCTGGGGAGCTGTGCACAGCTGACCCTTGGGAGGTGTTTGAGTCGCAACTCTGGGGAGCTGTGCACAGCTGACCCTTGGGAGGTGTTTGAGTCGCAACTCTGGGGAGCTGTACACAGCTGACCCTTGGGAGGTGTCTGAGTACTCTTTGAGGGCATTGCCCCTGACAGGCTAATGAAGCTCCCGTGGAAGACCCTACACCAAAGAGAACATGGGCAACACAAACTCAACTGGATAAGTCATTGTATTTTCAGTCTTTAAAAAGAATACAATGTTGGAAGCAGGTGGGGAGGTGAGGGTAGATCTGGGAGGGGTTAACGGAAGGACTGAAGAGTGAGAAAGATCAAACCACATTGTAGGCATACATGGAGTTCTTAAAGGACAAAATCATTATATTTTAAAAGGCAGAACAATAATCAAAATTAAACTGTAGAGAAAACAAATGTTAACATTAACTCTAGCTGTAGAATGTTTAAAATAAAGGTAGCCTAATTGCTGCCGAAAGCAAACTATCCAGATTTCAAAGACAGTGGGTATTTTTTAATCTATTAGCATGGAGATGAACAAACTGTCCTTCAAAGTGAAACGCACTAAAACATCATTGGTAACTAATTTAGTAGATTATCCTGAAGGTTTCCTAGTGAGCATGTAAAATCAATCACACATGTCAAAAAGCTTTAATAGAAAGACCAAGCAGGGCCATACCACGGAAGTCAAATCTACTGAAGGTGGCGGCCTGGAAAGGTGCAGTCCTAATGGCCAAGTGCACAGCACTTGTTCTCTCTTTCCCCTCCACACAGAGTAGTTTCCTCACACCAACTTCAAGATCTTAATGCAATTTAAGTACTGAAAATATCAGTGACAATTTTAAAAGATGAATTTTTATAGCATGTTATTGTCCTAGAAATAAAAGGGTACTACTGGCCTGCAAATGTATTTATTTTCCTCATTAAGACACCAACCTTCTCATCAGAGCACCAACCTTCCAGAGAAGGCCCGCTGTGACGTGAACACGACCCAGCCATATGCACTACTAATTACTCACGTTCCCTACTTCTCATGGAGAAACACATGGAAGCACAGCAGAATCAGAAAGATGTGCTGCATGTATTCAACATAACAAAGCTCCACTTCTAAGACTGACAGAGAGTGACAAAGTTTCTAAGACTATACCATGCTCAGTCTTTATCTGAGGAAATAAGACTACATGGTTAAAAAAAAGTCTAAGTTATCATCTGCGGTAGTTTGAATATAACTGACCCCATAATCTCATAGGGAGTGGTGCTATTTGGATGGGTGGCTTTGCTGGAGTGGGTGTGACCTGGTTGGAGGAAATGTGTCACTGTGGGGGTGGGATTTGGGGGTCCCTTATGCTCAAGCTTCCCTCAGTATGACTTTCAGTTGACTTCCTGTTGCTTGCAAGATGTAGTACTCTCAGCTCCAGTACAACATGTGACTACATGCCTTCATGTTCTCTGTCATGGTGATAATGGACTGAACTTCTGAACTGTAAGTGAGCCATCCCAATTAAATGTTTTCCTTGTAAGAGTTGCCATGGTTATGGTGTCTCTTTACAGCAATAAAAACCCTAACTACGACAGAAGTTGGTACCAGGGACTGGGGTATTGCTGTGATAGGCCTGGCATGTTGTTGTTTGGAATAATAGACTCTGTGTTAGGAAAGCAGTGGGATGCTTTAAGCACTACTTAATGGGCCGCACTAGCAGTGCTAGAACATGGAGGGCAGTGGTGCTAAGAGTTATTTGAACTGTTGGGGGCTCCCTCAGGAAGTTTCAGAAGAATTTTAGTATGCTGCCTAAACATCCTTCTTGTGATATTTTGGTGAGGAAAGTGGCTGCCTTTTGCCCTTGTCCAAAGAGTCTGCCTGAGGCTTAAGTGAAGAGTTTCCGGATTAATTCCACTGGTTGAAGAAACAGAATGGTATGGACTCTTGTGTGTGTATATTAGGGGTAACTCCATTGAAGATTTATAATGAAAGGAATAAGTCGAGCAGGATAAACTATAAAATCTATATTTTGAGGAGAAAAAAAAAGGAGCACCGGGAAGTGGAAAAGAGTTAAATTTTGTATTCAAGGAGATAAATGGATTAGGAAATGGAATAAAGGGAGTGATGACTTCGGTGCAAGATCCCACCAACTCAGTTAAGTTTCCAACTTGTGAAAAGGAATTAATGCAGAGTATGAAGTTTTTGGTCTTGCTTTAGTCCAGTATTTCCTTGGTATGCTCACTTCCCTGCATTTTAGAATGGTAATACATATCCTGTACCAATTATATGTTGGAAGTATGTGATCTGCTTTTTGATTTGATTTTTACAGGGGATTACAGTTATGAGATCCCATGAATCTCAGAAGAGACTTTGAACTTTGGACTTTTAAACATTGTTAACATTGTGATAAACTATGGGGACTTTTGAAATTGGACTGAATGTATTTTGCATTATGATACTGTTACAAGCTTATGGGAGTCAGGGAGTAGAATGTGGTAGCCTGAATATAATTGGCTCCATAATGTAGGTCATCGGGAGTGACACTATTAGGCGGTGAGGTTTTGTTAGAGTATTATAGCCTTGAAGGAAGTGTGTCACTGTGTGTGGGGGGAGAGGGAGTGCGCTCTGAGATTTCCTATGCTTGGAATACCGACCAGTGAGTCAGACGACTTCTTGTTGCCTTTGAGTCAAGATGTAGAACTCTCAGCTCCAGCACCATGTCTGCCTGCACAAAAAGCCATGTTCCCTGCCAAGATTATAATGGACTGAATCTCTGGAACTGTATGCAAGCCCCCTTAATTAAATGTTTTCATTTATAAGAGGTACCATGGTCATGGTGTCTTCATTAAGTTTTTATTGCTATGAAGGGACATCGTCTAACTAGAAAATAAATCAGTTATTTCTATAAGATAAATAATGTGAATTTTGTACTTGATGTCAAATTATTTTTAGTAATATAGTTTCCCTATCCTAAAATGAATGTCCTAAGTTTGAAAACTGATTTGGGAAATTCCACTGTTATGGACAGAGAAGGTCAATTTCAAGGAGAAGAAGAAATACACTGTGAGGTCTAAGGCGACAACAATGGGAGGCATCCTACCATGAACTAGGTTGCCACCAACAAACAACCTGCCCACTAATAGCTACAAAGCACTAAAATCTATTAAAATTGCAGTACAAGAGTGAGAAACCTGGAGGTGAGCATACAGTCATCCCTGTGCTTAATGGAGCTGGTTAAGGAGACCAGGCAAATACATGACAAAACCATTTCCAACAACATGGAATCAATTAAAAAAACAAAACCTGACAGGAGGGAAAAAAAAACAATAAAAAATGGAAATGTACAAACAATCC